GTGTGTGTGTTGTGTTGTGTTGTGTCTCATCTGCTACTGGTCACATCAACTATAAAAGATGAACACACTGTGATTCAGCTAACTCATTGCTGGGCAGTGGTGAGCTATGACAATTTGCGAAAAGAGATCTAATTATGGAATGTGGGCATTGCTCAGTTTGTGACTGGTCCATTCTTACCGATACAATATACTGGAAAATCTATTTTTGATGTGTTTTCGTTTGTAATATTAAAAAGGGTAAATTTTATGCTCGTCTCCCCATTTACACACTGCTATACACTAGCTCGCTTCTGATTGGATGACCTACTGACCACCTCACTTCTAATACATCGGCCTCGAGTGATTCGACTTTCACACAAGGGCAAGGGGATATTCCGCACTCACGCTCATACCCTGTGTTGTATATTTCACCATGCCAGAGCTTTTAACACATCTAAAACACTTAGATACTGGGTCTAACACACAACTCCCCTAGAGAGTGACAAAACCTTTCTCGGAAATAAAAGTGTAAATACCAGAGAACAACAGACTGCAACACCCATAACCTTGACCACAGTAGACTAGTTCAAACAACTTATCAATGGAGTTGACCTACGACCGGTGGTGTGCAAATGGGGAGACCATCGTATAAATAACCTTAAAACGCCTATTTTTCAAGTATAGAGTCACGGGTCATTTTGCTCTGTAAAATAGGGTAATGACTCGAAAAAGGCTGGCAACCGCTGAGCTAACGGAATCAGAATCAATATTTCCTGTTTTCCTCACACACAATTACATTGGAAAGGTGATACCACTGGGACTGATAAGAAAGCCATCAGCAAATACCAGGAGAGAGTCTCCTCTTTCGTTCTGCAAATTCTGATTACAGATTTAGGAATCAACATCATAGCACTCCTGGGCATTCTCTAACAGATGCTCTGTCCCTTGCAGTAAATTTTTTAATAAAAGAATGAACAAACAACTTATTTTTCAAAGTGTCATAAATTGGGCACGCAGGCCTGCTTACATTTAGCCCTTCCAAACACACATCTTTCCCACTGCAATTGTATTTGATCTCTAAAGCATGTTATGCTCATGAGTATACATATGTGTGCAGATGCAGATTATTAAAAAGCATACCAGAAAAACACACGTTCAAATCTTCATTTTTCTAGACAGTTTTCCTACTTAACTAGATTCATGCAGCCTTACGTATGCTGTTTCTAACATTATAATCCTCCATCAGCACTTGTTCATATGTAGTCTTCTGGACAGTTCCTGCTAAACTCACATACAGGTAATCCACACAAAATAAGCGATGTGGCTCCAGAATGCCTAATTGTTTTCTTATCAGAGAATGAGGCATCTGGGTGTAACAAGAGGGTCTGGCCGGCACACTACACTCAGAGGAAAGGCAAGACAGACATATAACCAGATTGTGAACGGTATCATCAGTATTTGAACTCTGAGCTGGCTGCTGAATGGTGGTAGGACGGAGCATGCATGGGAATGCCCAGAGTGCTGTGATGTCCATTCTTAACTCAACTCATCAATACAATGTTAGGTTCAATCTCCAAAATGGCAGTACTAAAAAGTGTATGATTACATCTGTGAACTGACCATTTAGAAAGAGCTTTGAGACAGTACAGATGTAGATCTAAGAAATATTGTTCCTGTGTGGCTCCTATGGCCCTGTTTTTGGTTTGTTTTAAAGGCTGAACAGACTCATTGCCCCTCTAACAAGCAGGTAATGAAAGGCAGCTAATTCAGGTTTTGCTTAAAATGGATATGATGGGCCAAAAGGCAGATTTCACAGTCTAGCTGTAAACCCCAACATAACACACCGACTGCTCTTTTGAGGGCAAACATAGAAGAAAAAGAAGAAGAAGAAAGAAGGAAGAATGAAAAAACAAACAAATTTTATTATCATTTGGGTTACAAATTCGGCAAGCAAGCTCATTTTACATTTGGCCTTTCCTGAAGAATGATAAAGGAGAAGAAAAAGAAGAAGATGAGACATCAATCAATCTGGTGCCATCTCCACGGTGAAGGTTGGCTGCAATGGAACTCCTACACATTCTGTCTCTTGTCCTGACAGTACACGCTATCAGACTGCTGCCCATCCATCTCTTGATGTTGTTCTCCCACATGTATCATTGTTACCTCTTACTCTTTTGCCTTCAACCTTTCTCTCTAGTATGGTTTTTAAAGGTGTGTTATGTCTTTAAATGTGGCTAAAGTATTTCAACTGTCTTTTTTTTATTTTTATTTTTTTCAGTAATTCTCTTTTCATATGTAGCCTTTCCAGAACCTCTGTTGGACTGTTTTTGTTTCCATGAAATACAACCTATTCTTTTGTATACTCACATATCCAGAGACTCAATTCCATTCTCTAGTGGCTTGTTCAATGTCCACGTTTCTGCACTTTATAGCAGGGCTGAGCATACATAACATTTTCGATTCTCATTTTTAGTAGTTGTTTATCTCTCTGTCAGTAACTTGCGCATCTTACTGAAGACAGTTTTAGCCATTCCTAAAGTCTTTTTGATTTCTGTTTCGCTTCTTCCATTATCTGTTACTGCGCCCTAGATAGGAGAAACTTGTTACTTGATCTAATAGCTCTCCATTTACTGTGATGTTCACTGTTGGCCGCTCTTTTCCATTGTTAATTACCACAGTTTTTGTTCCTTTCTAAACCGGACTCTGCACTCCACTTTTTGACTTGATCAACTAGTTCCTATAACCTCTGCTCGCTTTCTGCTAGTAGCACTGTGTTGTCTGTGTATCTCAGATTGTTTATTGTTCTTCCATTAATATTCAGTCCAAGCAATTCCTCAACTTGTTTAAAAATGTTTTCTGTATATAAGTTTAAAAGGCTTGGGGATAACACACATCCTTGACGTACTCCTCTTTTTATCTCTATCTGTGGTGAGGTGATACTGTTGTGTCTAACTGTTGCTATTTGTTCCCAGTATAGATTATTAATAATCCTAATATCCGTTCAATCTAATCCTATATTTTGGAGAAATGCAATTAGCTTTTCACGTTGCGCCCTGTCAAAGGCCTTCTTGTAATATATAAAACATGCATAAATACTTTTCTGGACTTCTATAAATTTTTCAGTCAGCATCTATTATGGTTTTCCCTAGTGCCACTATTTGTCCTAAATCCAAACTGTTCCTCCGACACTTTATTGCTTATTTTACTTTGAATTCTTTCTTGAATGATCTTAAGAAGTATTTTAGTTATATGGCTCATCAAGCTAATTGTTCTATAATCTTCACACTCAACGACTTTTGACTTTTTGGGCAATGTGATGAAAATGAATGTTTTCAAATCCTTTGGAATATAGCCAATATTTTAAATATCATTACACGTTTCAGTGATGCTATCAACGCCAAAGCTGAATAGTGATTTTATCATTTTTGTTGTTATTTTGCCAGGACCTGTGGCTTTACCATGCTTCATATTTTTAATAACCTTCTCCACTTCAGCTTTTAACATGTTTGGTCCAGCATAAAGATTAAACAGTTGTGGTTTTGTGCCTCTGTTATCCCAAAACATGTCCTCTATGTATTCAATCTACATTGTGATGATATCATTCTTATCAACTAACATTACTCCATCTTTTCCTCTGATGCACCCGTTTCCTGTTAAATGTTCTCTCCTGTTTGTGAGTTTTCTTATGTTTTTATGCACTTTTTTTCTGTTATGTTTACTTTCTAATTCCTCTCTTCCTTTATATTTCTCCTGAATACGTGTCTCTTTAGCAACTCTGCACAAATAATGTATTTCTGTGCCTATTATTGCCTACTCAACAGTGTTTTTTTCTTTTTTTCTATGACTCATTTTTTTCATAATTTTTTCAGTCATCCATACTTGATTTTTCTTCCTTTCGGTGATAAGCTGGCATCTGCTGTCTGTATACTAGTTTTAAAACATTCCCACTTTGTACTGATTTTCTTCTCTAGATTTTTATGCCAATATTGTTCAATGCGTTCAACTATTACCTTGTCATATGTACTGTTCACTTCAACCAGATATTGTTGACTTATATATGGTTCCTTCAATGCTGATATGTCTATCTGAAATTCCATTGAAGCTTTTTGATCAGAATTTTAAAGTCTTATGTGCGTTTTTATAAGAACAGGGTTGTGATAAAAGCTAATGAAAACAAAGAGAGTGTTTTCTAGGTATATGTCAACAAGAGAGGCACTAAAGTACATCCTGACAGCTTGAAAGATCAGTAATAGAAGAGGCAGAAGAAGACCAAGACAGGGGATGATCTTAGACAGAGTTTAGAGAAATATCATCCACAGAACTGATCCACAACACAAATGGCGAAGATCTGTAAAGAGACATGAATAAACAAGCAGTCAGGCAGGGCAAACAAATACAGCTGTGAGGTTGACCCAGATTCATAAACTAGATACCAAAAGCTTCTTCTAAAAACTCTAACTACTGATTTCTTGTTGTAATCCACCCTTAAAAAAGGTGTTAAGCATGTTGTGGTTTACAGATAGGCTGTGATATTGGAGCCTTTCAGCAAAATACATCAAATTTCAGCAAAATAAGCGATTTAAGAACTGATATAAAAGCACTCTGGGAGTCGCCGTGGCCGAGCAGCTAGACGTTCGCTGCGGATCGGAAGGTCGTAGGTTCGCTCCCTGGAGGGACCGAACTTTTTTCAAAAATGACCTTGGCTCCCAGGTCGACCCAGCCTTGAGTGGGTACCGGGTGCAGTCCCGGGAAGTAAAGGCGGCTGGCGTAATGCTGAAGACATCACCTATCTTGTGCCGATTAGTCTATACAAATATAGGTCTAGCCCTATATGCCCTATACGCCTAATGGAGTGGAAAGGGTCCTTTACTTTACTACTACTATAAAAGCACTCTAGCATCATACCACTACCTGAGAGACAAGGAAGTGGGTTATTCCATCTCAATATGCTGTGACACAGAATATTTAAAATTCCACAGCTTCATCCATAAAGAGGATCATTTACCCATACCCATACATACCTTCCATATCCAATGGTGCTTGGCCTGGCAATATTTAGCCTCCCTATAATGTCCATATTTGTCTGGATGTTCTGCATTGTTACACTTCATTTTGATTGCCCTGAAAAGGAAGATTCCATCACCACAATTAAATTAAATCTTCAGACTCGGCCATCCAGGAGCAGCCTCTTTTGAGATGCATTCCTTCTGTGTCATGTATAGCTTTGTGCAGTGGGTGGTCTGCCGATACCCTCATGTACACCTTGACCTGTGCAGCTATGTGTCTGGCAGCCATTGTCGGCAAGCCCAGGACATATCGCATGGCTGGAAATGTATGCTTGTGTCTGTGCGAGTTTAACCCTTCCTTTTGCTGAGCCTCCTAGACAAATTTTGTGTTCACTTCCATCAGTGTGGGCTTCATCGCAGTTACCCCTATTATCGGCCCCATCATAAATAAACACAGCACTGCATTTCTAAACAATATAAAACTGAACATCTCTTTATTACAATTAAGATTTATTTAAGTCACTGCGATGGCAGTGTAGTGGATAAACACTTGCCTGCCGGCCCAACAATATTGGGTTTGAAACCTTATCATGGTGGATTTGTCTTTAAAACTGACTTGACTCTCAGGGCAACCCAACTTACTGATTATTGTTTTAAAAATCAACATCATAGCACACCAAGCATACCCACAGCTGCTCCATCTCCCACAGCAAATGTCTTAAGGTAGAGATTCTAACTGTTCCCGTAGCACACTGATTATACACATGTCATTCTCTTCCTCTCAAATGTCCCTCCTTACCATCCCTCCTTACCCGATCAGCTCTTAATTCCTCGTTCACACATTCTTACTCATGTTATTTCATCTAATCTTGTGTCTTCTGAATATCTCTTTTGTCCAGTACAACCGTTCCCGTAGCTATCGCTTTTTGTAGCCAGAAAATCTGCTCCTTCGTTCTCTCGCACACCTCAATGTGCCGGAAAAATGAGTATCAGGTCATGTTCTGAGAAGTAAAAGTGGCCAGCATAATGTTGACCACATAACCCACCAAGTGCCCACCAGTTTTTAAAAATACCAATATAGCATTATATGGCCATTGCATCATTGATGCAAAAAAAAAAAGGTAATTTACTTTACTTTTATTTTAGTAATAGATAAATAGCACTTAATAAAATGATTATGATGGGATAACAAACCAGGCAGTCCTCCAGTGACAGATGACAATCAAGGCATAATCATTTTTTCAGACATATTATGAGAAATAATGTACATTAAAAACTTAGTAACAGCTTGCAAGTTTGCCAGAAAGAAAGCAAGGGGAGGACCAACAGAGACATATACCTAGATGGTTAAGCCATATGGATGGGGCACGAGACTATGCTTATCGACACAGCACATGATGATGATGATGATGATACAATTAACCAATTGTTCACACTACAGAACATTATTCAGTCTCTTTCTAATGTAATGGGCACCTTCCTTTTGTCTATAAATATAATCATGTGCACTTCTTGTTTAAAAGAAAGCATCAAGCAGAGGAGAGCGTAATCTTATTAACTTAATGATGTTGAAGAAACTCTGAACTTACATATCTTCACACAAAGGCAAACCAGTTATCAATTCTACCTGACAACAACGAATGGGAGAGTGGGTGTCAGCTTTTAATATATTATTCCAAAGATTTACAGCTGGAGTTAAAATGAACAAAAATCTGCCAAGGGAGAAGGATGCACTAGCTTAACCTTAAAAAATACATTTCTTTTGTAATTAAAAATACACAGTTCTTAAGAAAACAGCCAAACTCATATGAAAAGCTCCTGTTATGTTAAGAAAAAAAAAAAAAAAGTAAAACACAGATAGTAGACATAAACTTAGTGAAAGGGGGGGGGGGGGGGGGGGGAGAGAACGAGCAAACTATTTTTTATATCATAAATTGGGGATGCAAGTCTGCCTTCCTTTCAGCCCTTCCCAACAACTAATTTTTCCACACAGTAATTGTAATTTACCTACAAAGCATGTTATGTTCATAAAGCAATATAATGAATATTAAAGATCTCTCTGTCTGTCTCTCTCTCTCTCTCTCTCTCGCGTGCGTGCATGTGTGCGTGCGTGTGTGTGTGTGTGTGTGTGAGAGAGAGAGAGAGAGAGAGAGGAGAGAGAGAGAGAGAGAGAGGAGAGAGAGAGAGAGAGAGAGGAGAGAGAGAGAGAGAGAGAGAGAGAGAGAGAGAGAGAGAGAGAGAGAGAGAGAGAGAGAGAGAGAGAGAGAGAGAGAGAGAGAGAGAGAGAGAGAGAGAGAGAGAGCACTTTAGCCACTTAACTCTTTCACTACCAGACAGTTATTTCTGTTTAAGTAATCATTTATCTTCCTCTGTTGCGTTCATCCGAAGATGTAAATTCAAGTGCCTGTTTTCAACATGACTGCATCTAACTTCTGCAGGCATTTGTTGCCTGAATTAGCCTGTGCTTCGGGTTAACTAGCAGTTATTACTCTAAACTAACCACTGTAACAACTGGGACAGAGCAGGGCAATGTGACAACCAAATAAAGCATTTAGAGTAAAGAAACACGTGGCGAGTTGCTTGGTAGTGAATGAGTTAATTACAGACAATTGAACACAGAAATATACAGAGAGTTTCTTGATAGTCAAAGAGTTAAGGGTGGAGATAATACCACACAACAGTGGCTATTATCAACTAAGACTTGTGGACTCCTTTTATTTTCAAAGGTCCGCCAATGACCCCAATACATTTTAACACTGTGTTTTATTGAAAAAGCAACAAAGCCTACATTTATTCAAATATTAAAGCATGTGTTTTTTTTCAATTACAGTTTATTCCATCATTTATTGAAAGCATTAATTTCAATAACGTTAATTATTTATATGTATTTATATATTCATTATTTTATAAAATCAATATCATCACTGTTCATTTCAAAGGATGAATGAAATCAACCCTTCTAGCAGACGACAATAAATAGGGCTAATATTTGGGGTAAGACATTTTACGAGCATCCTGAAAAATAATGGGCAGGGCTTCTTTTCAGATTATGTCTTATTTTGGGAGGAAATATGGCAGCTATACTGGAAAACTTTTTGACTTTAAACAAATATTTAAATAATCAAATCAACAGGACTGCATTCTGAAGATTTTGTGTTTTTTGTTGTTGTTGATGATATCACGGACCTCTTAAATATTTCTACGACCACCAAATAGGAAGTTAGTTAGTTAGTTAGTTAGTTGGGTTATCATCATTGCACTTCGGACATGTCCATAGGTGCTCAGATCCTCCCCTCAGTATGGACCCCAACATCCGATGGCTAATAGTACCAGTTTTATGTTGATTAACAAGTCTTCTGACATGTCTGGTGTGCGTCTCGTTTTTTGCTATGCCGATCTTATTTCCCAAGTCTGCCATTCTGGCGAGTGTTGTGGATTCACTGCCACCAAAGTCCTCTATCCTTCCCATTTCTCTGAAAGCATTAATAATATCAGCATGATCCATAGGCTGACCGTCAGTAGTGATAGCGGATCCAGCCAACCTGTCAGCTCTTTAATTTCCATCGATGCCTGCGTGTCCCGGAACAAAAATAAAGGTGACTCCATGCACAGTGGACTTCTGTAATGATTCAAGCCACCACTAAATAGAAAACACTGGTTCAAAAGAAGAAAACAGTAGAAAATAGCATGCCAACTTACTCAGCTTTCTTAACATTACGTGGACAGTCATTAGGGTGCTCCCCAGGAAATTCCTGGCTGTAAATTTGTTGGGAAAATGGGAAAAATATTTGCATCACCTGTAAAGAAAAAAAACAATTGTTTATTAAAAATAAATCCATTAATTTTACCTAGCTTCGCTCTTTCTTCATCATTTAATTCTTTTTCTCAAAGTCTCTGTCATGTGGCGTTGGTAGCCATATCTGTCTACAACCTTCTGTTTCATGTTCTTTCAATTAACCGTGATACTCCATGCCATGATGTCAAACTTGTCCAGCATCTTTTCTCTCGGTCTCCCTCTGCCTCTCTTCCCTCCCTTCCAACATTCCTACTGTCACAATGTACTCCAGTTTTCTCTTAGACCAAAGAATGTAGATTGTCTCTTTCTGATGCTGGTAATCAGTTCTCTTCATGAGTCAGTTTCTTTCAAGACATCTTCATTACTCTTTTATCTGTCCAGGGTATTCTCATCATTGATTTATAGAACCATATCTCCGCAGCTTCCGAATAATTTTTCACTAGTCTACCATCTGTCCATGATTCACTTCCATGTATTAAGATAGAATTTATAATAGCTTTTAAGAATTATCTTTCTTGTCCCGACAAAGAAAGACTGCATAATATCATTGTATTAATAAAGAAATAATTTTAGTGAAATTTAGAAAATGTTCCATAAAATTTGTCAATGGTAATGGTAATATCAATGGTCCTGAATACATTACTTCTTAGGTATTTTGCTACAGACAATTCTCTACAAAAACAATATCCTATGGTAGAAAGACATAGCATTTGAAAACAAATGAAGGAGGGAAATGATAAACATAAACTTGGATGAATTCAAGGAGTGTAGAAAAAAGTCTCGGTAACCACTAGTATGAACAATTATAAGATAGAGAATATGGCGCTATATACATTCTGAGAAAAGATGAACAGGGAATCACAAAATTTGGTACTGGCATGGGAAACTGATGGACTGAGGAAATGAGGACATCGAAGAGATACCCTAAACTGAATGTGCTGAGAGAAGTCAAAGGTGTTGGACTGGTGGATTCCACCCATGGTACTGAAGTGATATCGAAGAGATATCCTAAACTGAACGTGGCTGAGAGAAGTCAAAGGTGTTGGACTGGTGGATTCCACCCATGATACTGAAGTGATATCAAAGAGATACTCTAAACTGAACGTGGCTGAGAGAAATCAAAGGTGTTGGACTGGTGGATTCTACCCTTGATACTGAAGTGATATCGAAGAGATACCCTAAACTGAACGTGGCTGAGAGAAGTCAAAGGTGTTGGACTGGTGGATTCCACCCATGATACTGAAGTGACTGTACAGGATAGAATGGAACCGAGAAACAGACTGCCAGCCCTATGTGACACATAATGGCACAATAATACAATGAATGCAACAACAACAAAATCCAGACTTGAAGTGTACAAATGTACAAATCTTACAACTTGTAAAATGTACACATCTTACAACTTGTGAATCTCTGCATTAAAGAAAAATAAAATGAAAAAAAAAAGTTAAAGGCCATTCCATGGCAGACAATCCCATTGGCGAACGTTAGGCTTTCACACACTCTATGACATACATATCACTGGGGTGACTAGTTACCTTTATTATCATATTCCTTCCAAAAAAATTCCCCCAAAATTCAGGAAATTATTCTGTCTGTACTCATTTTTATTTTAATGAGGCTGTGTCAATCTATCTGCTGTACTGGTTGCAAAAGATCCCACTACTTCTGGGAACTGAACTCAGACAACTGTCTCAGCGGGCAAGGATACTAACCATAATGCCACCCCGGCATTGTACATTAAATGTTTTTCTTCTCTTGTCTCGCTGCTTTTGCCATAAAGCGTTGCAGAGATAAGTTAGATGTAGTTTCCTGCTAGTTACATAACTTGCGTTAATGTCATATTGCATTTCTGCACTGTCTATTTTACTACCTCCACCCATCTCTTTCTTGGTCAGCCTCCTGCCTTGTAACCTGCTGTTCTCATGTATTATACTCTTGATGCTGGCTGAGTTTGTTCCATTCTGGCAGATGACCAAACCATTTTCTTCTTTAATGTCCTATGAAATCATTTATTGATACTGTGCCTACCATTGTTCTTAGTTCATCATCAAGTGCCTTGCCGACTGGCATGGGTGATCATGCCTCTCTACAATCTGTGAACTGCAACTGCATGTATCAGTGCATGTGTTGACACCCCTCCACGCCATGACAAAAGGCTGTCAAGAATCTTCTTGCGCTGTGGCCACAATATGTGCCAATTTCCCTCGTCTCATAACATGTTAGTTTAACATTCAATAACCTATGGCAAATATAAAGAGGCTTGTAGGACGAGCATCTACAGATGTGAAACTTGTAAAATTCTATTAAATAAATCTAAACATTCAGTTACCATTGGTAAACAGACACATAAAAAAATCTACATGTTTAAAACACTAAAAAGATTCCAGTAAATCTACACATTAAAATAACCTATGATAAGCTGACTTTGGGGTAAAATATTTACAGATTTAAAAAAGAATCTACACTACAGTCAATAATTTACCATAAAGAAACCTAAAGGACAAAAATCTACGGATTTAAAACCTGCATAACTCAGTTAACAGAATCTACACTTCACTTTCAATAACTTATGGTAAAAAAAAAGCTTTGATGATAAACATTTATGGTTTAAAACCAATAAAACATTAAATGAAAAAAAAGGGAAAAAAGTAAATAAAAATAAAAATCTGTCAAACATTAAAAGAATATACTCTATATATTCAACTTACACAACACAAACCTACAGAATATAAAACCTGTAAAACATTAAAAGCAAACCTGTAAAATATTAAAGCATCTACATCACACAATCAACAACTTCTAGTAAAGAAACTTACAGGACACAAATCTGCAGATTTAAAACCTGCATAACTCAGTTAAATCTACTCTCTATATTAACTTACACAACACAAACCTACAGAATATAAAACCTGTAAAACATTAAAAGCAAACCTGTAGAATATCAAAAGCATCTACACTACACAATCAACAACTTCTAGTAAAGAAACTTACAGGACAAAAATCTACAGATTCCACAATCTCATTGAGCTGATGAGAGTAGACATCATGGCTGACAATTAGCAGGCTCTTGTCCATGTCTCGCACTTTCCTCATGGAGTCCAGGAGGATGCGCAGGTACTCGGGCCTGTCGTGGGTCTGAATGATGATCACCAGGCTGTCGGAGCCCAGGCTCAGCCCATACTTGTCCAGATTGTGGATGTACTGCTCTGCATTGACACGGGCCACTTCCTGCTTCAGTGCTTCTGAATCATTAGTGGGAATGTTTCTGTGGTACCTGGTTTGTGTTGTTATAATAATGACAGGTGAACGTTAAATGCAAAACATACACACTCTTATAGATAATCGTGTGTGTGTTGGTGTGTGTGCCTGTCTGCATGTATGTGTGTGTGAGACAGTGAGTGAAAGAAGAAGAGGAGAGGGGGGGGGACAAAGAAGAGAAGGGGAAGAAGGTGATCAAAGCAGAAGAGGAAGAAATAGAAGGAGGAGGAGAGGGAAATGAATCTGAGAAGAATTAGAAGAGGAAACATAAAAAGGAAACAAATCGGCGGTCAAAATGTGTGATTTAGTCATAAACTGTTTTTCCATTACCTCTACTTTCTTACTTTACTTTCATGAATGCCTATCCCTGTGAATTTCTTTCTCACTAAATTGCAATGCTCTCAAAGATTCTCCAGCAGTTCACATTTGCATGATGAAGCTTTTCAACCAGCAGCACTAGTAAAGCAAGCACATGTACATGAAACACATGTTGCAAAGTTTTACTGTCCCTGCCTTGTGCAGTACAGATCATGAGTTCATTTCACAGACCAGTCAGTTCACAGGTGAGTGAGTGAGTGGCCGAAAGAAAAAGCGAGGAGAGAGCGAGGAGGGGGGGGGGGGGGGGGGAGGGAAGGGAGAGACAGAGAGAGAGGAGACAGACAGGACAGACAGGATGGACAGGATAGACAGGCAGGACAGGACAAGACACACGTGTGCGCACACACACACACCTGTGCACGCACACATATACACACACACAAACACACACCACACACAAATGCGCGCGCGAGATCAAATCTGGTGAAATGAAGTCAATCCTCTTGCCTTTCAACCTATATCAGCCTTCTTTCTACAACCTAATGTGTAGAAGACATGATAGACATAAAAACTAAAAGCAAAGTTTATTCACAACCTAGAAACAAACATGAAATCTTTTTAAAAAGTACACTTGTGAAGCAGATAACACTGTCTTACCGCTGTTTGGCAACTCCTGTCTGGTTGCCAGTTTCATTACAAACTTTAGGTGGGATCACTAAGCTCAACTTTGGTGTAGGTGGTGCCCCGTTTATACTGTGCTGTACATGGAAATCTCCTTGACCCTGCGACAGTGTCCCGGCTGATCTGAGCTTCTCCCTGTGTTACAAGTACAAAAGTAGAGTTTTCCACGCCTTCAGGCAGATTGGGCATAAAGAGCTAGACCAATATTTTATAGACCAATCTGTACTCAACGGGTGATGTGGTCAATGTCATGTCGGTCCCCTTTACTTCCAAGGACTATACCTGGTATCCATTTAAGGCTGGGGAAAACCTAGCAGCCAAGGTAGCGATAGTATCAATATTTCACCCATTTCTTAAACTTTGATTTTCTGTTATCTTGCTTATAAAACTTACTGCTTGATTAGTTATTTAAGATGATATTATTATTATGGCTCTTCAGATCTGCACCAAGTTTCAGTTGGAAGTCTTGATTTATCTCAAGTGAAAGTATTGTAAAGAAACTGGAAAAATAATTATCTCTCATTTAATTTGTTTGCATCTTTCCCTTTTTCCTTCTCTGGCTCTCATACAAACATGCACTCGCGCGCGCGCACGCACGCACACCCCACCCAGAAAGAGAGTGCACACACATCCGGACATACCTTGGTTTCCACCACAAAGTTCCTAGTCTTAAAACTGACAACACTGTCCAACTCTCTCCCCTTCAGTCAGGTGGAATATAGGATATCAATGTTTCAATGT